GTATATCCATGAAATACAAAAAGTCAAAGAAAATATATTTATATTTAAGAAACTTGGCATAATACACGTGATTTGAATCATTATGACACATAATCGGCACATTTTCTTTTGAATTTTGGCTCAGCTAAAGTGAAACAGGAAGTGACATCAAAGGGGAACTCTTTGAGAAAGAAAAGTCCCTGGTTTTTGTTTATTGAAACAATGTTAGTTGAACTCTGACTCTTTCTCATCTCTCTATGATCGTGATTAAAATAATCTAAAGAAACATCAGCTTCTTCTCTACAGTCTGTGCTGTTAGCCATTTCAGCAACGCTCTGTTTATATTCAGACATTCCCCTTTGACATCACTTCCTGTTTCTTCACATGCAAATATCTCAACAACTGTTCAACTCAGCGGCATGAAATCTTTTTTTACAATATGTTATCAATGTTATCTTTCCAAAAATACATTCATATTCATTAAAGAATTCATGTCACAGGCACTCTTTAAAGTTTACATTCAGAATGAARCGCAGTATTTGCTGTTGCAGCGCTGCTTTTTGTTCTGTCATCGTCATCATTTTGACGTCAGACAAAAGCTAACGCTGCTGAAGATGGTATTTAAAATTTAAATATAAAATGTGTTCATTGAAAACAATGAATAAGGATGGTACCCGTGGTCCAGCAGTTTGACGTGCACATCAGACACCGGATGCAACTGCAAGCATGATGTCTTAAAAGCCATCTTCAGCAGCGTATCTAGCAAAGTTAGCGGTTGCTCTTGTCGCAGGATGATGACGTCATAAGAGAGCCGAGCACGAGCAGCAAAGGCTTACTTAAATGTAAACTTTAACATTTATTAAAACAAGATTTAGATTTAGGACATTAAGACACATTTAACATATAAATTTATCATTTAGTAAAAWTKAGCTAAATGTATAAGCAGTTAGCTAAATGATCAAATGTTAATGGAAATGTTTAACTTGGATTTTACACTTGGTGCCTCATACMYGAATGTTAAAAAACTTTWGCAGTTAATTAGTTAGCTGTGTAACTAGACCACCGTGCCTTTTGCTAACTGTGTCCTCCAGGTTTAGGGTGGGGGCTGGTTTTTACTCCCATGGTGGCCACAGTCATGGCTAACTTCACCCGCCGGCGGGCTCTGGCTTTAGGACTGGGCTTCTCCAGCATCGGTCTGTCTTCCTTCGCTTTTAACCCTCTCTTCCAGCTGCTGGTGGAGACGTACGCCTGGCGAGGCGCCCTGCTCATTCTGGGGGGTCTCAGCCTCAACATCGTGGCCTGCGGAGCCCTCATCCGCCCAGATTGCCGCCCTAAAGCCCAGGCAACGGTACAACACATTATAGAGCATCACTGCTGTTCAGCCTGCTGGGAATGATGGGGTTAAATGATAAAAGTCATCACATGGTCAAAAAGAGGAAGGACAATGGGTTTCCACCTGCTTWCATTATTCTAATCTGAAACCATGAACTCCAGTTTTACAGCAGCTGTCATGTTTTATTTTTGGAACCAGAGTCTGAGCAGTAGGGATGCTGGGCTTTAAGTCCCGCCTACTTCCTCACTAACAATCATCTTGCATAACTTTT